AAAACTTCCAGACTCTATGAGGCCAGCATTACCTTGATCTCCAAACCAGGCAAAGACCCTACCAAAAAGGAGAATTTCAGACCAATATCCCTAATGAATATGGACGCCAAGATTCTCAACAAGATCCTAGCTAATAGGATCCAAGAGTACCTTAAAAGGATTATCCACTACAACCCGGTGGGATTTATCCCTGGGATGCAAGGGTGGTTCAACATTTGCAAATCAATCAATGTGATTGAACACATAAATAAGAGAAGAAACAATAACCACATGGTCCCCTCAATTGATGCAGAAGAAACATCTGACAAAATACAGCATCCTTTCCTGATTAAAACTCTTCAGATTATAGGGCTAGAGGGAACATTCCCCAATTTCATAAAATCCATCTATGAAAAACCCACAGTGGATATCATTCTCAATGGGGAAAAAGCTGAGAGCCTTTCCCTTGATATCAGGAACACGACAAGGATGTCCACTCTCACCACTACTGTTCAACATAGTACTAGAAGTCCTAGCAACAGCAATCAGACAACAAAAAGAAATAAAAGGTATTAAAATTGGCAAAGAAGTCAAACTTCTTTGCATATGACAGGAAACTTTATGTGGAAAACGTAAAAGACTCCACCCCCGAACTACTAGAACTCACACAGCAATTCAGTAATGTGGCAGGATACAAAATGGATGCACAAAAATCAGTTGCTTTCTTATACACTAACTATATAACTGAAGAAAGAGAAATTAGAGAATCAATTCTATTTACAATAGCACCAAAAACTGTAAGATACTTTGGAATAAACCTAACAAAGGAGGTAAAGAATCTGTGCTCTACGAACTACAGAACACTCATGAAAGAAATTGAAGACGACACAGAAAGATGGAAAAACATTCCATGCTCATGGATCGGAAGAATAAACATTGTTAAAACGTCTATGCTGCCCCAAGCAATCTATACTTTCAATGCCATCCCAATCAAAATTCCACCAGCATTTTTCAAAGTGCTTGAACAAACAATCCTGAAGTTTGTATGGAACCGGAAATGCCAAGGAAATGTATGGAACCCTGAATTGCTAAGGAATCGTTGAGAAAGAAAAAAAAAAAAAAGCTGGGGGCATCACATTGCCTGATTTAAAGCTCTCTTACAAAGCTGTGATCACCAAGATAGCATAGTACTGGCACAAAAACAGACACACAGGCCAGTGGAACAGAGTAGAGAACCTAGAAATGGACCCTCAACTCTATGGTCAACTAATTTTCGACAAAGCAGGAAAGAATACCCAGTGGAGAAAAGAATCTCTTCAATAAACGGTGCTGGGAAAATGGGAAAGCCACGTGCAGAAGAATGAGACTGGACCACTCTCTTATACCACGCACAAAGACAGACTCGAAATGGTTGAAAGGCCTCCAGGTTAGACAAGAATCCATCAAAATCCTAGAGGAGAACACAGGCAGTAACCTTTCGACATTAGCCACAGCAACTTCTTTCAAGACGTGTCTCCAAAGGCAACGGAAACAAAACCGAAAATGAACTTTTGGGACTTCATCAAGATGAAAAGCTTCTGCACAGCAAAGGAAATAGTCAACAAAACAAAGAGGCAACCCAGATATTTGCAAATAACACTACAGACAGAGGGGTGATATCCAAGATCTATAAAGAACTTCTTAAACTCAACATCCAAAAAACAAATAGTCAAGTCAAAAAATGGGCAGAAGACATGAACAGACACTTCTCCAAAGAAGACATACAAATGGCTAACAGACACATGAAAAAATGTTCATCATCATTAGCCATCAGGGAGATTCAAATCTAAACCACACTGAGATATCACCTTACACCAGTTAGAACAGCGAAAATCGACAAGGCAACAAACAACAAATGTTAGAGAAGTTGTAGAGACAGGGGAACCCTCTTACACTGCTGGTGGGAATGCAAGCTGGTGCAGCCACTTTGGAAAACAGTGTGGAGATTCCTCAAAAAATTAAAAACAGGGGCGCCTGGGTGGCTCAGTGGGTTAAAGCCTCTGCCTTCGGCTCAGGTCATGATCCCAGGGTCCTGGGATCAAGCTTCGAATTGGGCTCTCTGCTCAGCAGGGATCCTGCTTCCCCCTCTCTCTCTGCCTGACTCTCTGCCTACTTGTGATCTCTGTCAAATAAATAAATAAAATCTTAAAAAAAAAAAAAACAAAAAAAAAAACAGAGCTACCCTATGTCCCTGCAAGTACACTACCGGGTATTTACCCCAAAGACAGAAATGTAGTGAAAAGAAGGGCCATATGCACCCCAGTGTTCATAGCAGCAACGTCCACAACAGCCAAAATGTGGAATGAGCCAAGATGCCCTTCAACAGACGAATGGATAAAGATGCGGTCCGTATATACAACGGAATATTACTCAGCCATCAGAAAGGATGAACACTCAACTTTTACATGAACATGGGTGGAACGGGAGGAGATTATGCTGAGTGAAATAAGTCAAGCAGAGAGAGTCAATTATCATATGGTTTCACTTATTTGTGCAACATAAGGAAGAACGTGGAGGACATGAGGAAGAAGGAAGGGAAAAATGAAGAGGGGGAAATCGGAGTGGGAGACTACCCAGGAGACACTATGGATTCTGGCAAACAGGGTTTTAGAAGGGAGGGCGACTAAGGGGATGCGTGAGCCTGGTGATGGGTATTAAGGAGGGCACGGACCGCATGGAGCACTGTTATATGCAAACAATGAGTCATGGAACACTACACCAAAAACGAATGATGTACTGTATGGTGACTAACATAACAATAAAAAACCCGCACATATCTGACAAAGGGCTTGTGCTTAGAATATATAAAGAACTTTTATAACTCAGTAATAAGGGGGTAAACAACTCAATTTTTAAAAATGGACAAAAGATTCGAACAGATATTTGAAAATCACAATGAGATACTATCAAGCACCTATCAGAATGACTAAAATTAAAAAGACTAACCAAACCAAGTATTGGTCACAATGTGGAATGATAGCAACATTGCTGGCAGAAGTGGAAAATGGTACAACCGCTTTGAAAACAGCCCGGCAGTTCCTTAAACTATTAAACACAGATCTCCCATATGATGTACCCATTCCACTACCAGGTATTTTCCCAAGAGAAATGAAAGCACATTTCCTCAAAAGACTTAAACATGAATGTTTATAGCAGCTTTATTCGTAATAGCTCCAAATCAGAAACAACCTACATAACCTGTCCACAAGTGAATGAATAAGTAAATTGAGCTTATATTCTCACCAGGTAGGACGACTAACAATAACAAGGGACCAGCTACTAATCCCTGCAACAGCCACGGAAAAATTTCACAAGAATTATGCTGAGTGATGGGGCCCCTGGGTGGCTCAATCGTTAAGTGTCTGCTTTCAGTTCAAGTCATGATCCCAGGGTCCTGGGATCGAGCCCTGCATCGGGCTCCCTGCACAGCGGAGAGCTGCTTTCCCTCTCCAACTCCCCCTGCTTGTGTTCCCTGTCTCAATATCTCTCTCTGTCATAAATAAATAAAATCTTAAAAAAAAAATTATGCTGAGTGAAAGAAGCCAGACAAAAAAAGGAGTGCATACAGTAGGATTCCATTTACATAAAACTTGAAAAATGGCATTTAATTTATAGACAGAAAGCAAACTGGACTGGAGACAGGAGGCGGGGAGGAAGAGTGGGATGGAGGAAAGAATTACAAAGAGGCACCAGGAAACATCTGTGGGTAATATGTGCATTTTCATTTTGTAGATGGCTTCACAGCTGTGCACATGTCAGAAGTCATCAAACTGTTAGACTTTAAACACTGTACTTCAGTTATTCTTCAGTAAAGCCATAAAGAAGGAAAAAAAGTAGAATCGAGTGTCAAGCATCAAGATTCTGCAAAGTCCAGTACTTATGGGCAGAAGAAGAGGAACCACTAAAGGAGGAAGAGAAGAGCCGATCACACGCAGGATACAAAGCAAACTGTTACCCGAGAACCTAAGAAGTCTCAGGGAAATCGTAAACGGTGTTGACTGATACAGAAATTAGGAAAGTCAGTAAGAAAAGACCAGTGGATTTGGCCTTAGAAGATATGTGTTAAAATACAAAGAGAGGAGTGAAGCCAGAACGTCAAGGGTTAAGGAAATGAGAGGTCAATGAGTTGCAGCATAAGGACAACACTCATCAGAAAAATACTAAAACAGAAGAGAGAAAGCTGATGCAAGACAGAAGTTTTACTCATTAGTTAGATGCTCCTTTCCTTCTCGACGACCACAGTGCAAATGGACTTATGTCTCACTGGCATCACAATCAAAGATACTGCATTATACTACTGCATCACTAAAAATTTTTTTTTCCAGGACCAGGACGCCTGGGTGGCTCAGTCAGTTAAGAGTCAGACTCTTGGGGAGCCTGGGTGACTCAGTGGGTTAAAGCCTCTGCCTTCAGCTCAGGTCATGATCCCAGGGTCCTGGGATCAAGCCCCCATCGGGCTCTCTGCTTAGTAGGGAGCCTGCTTCCCTTCCTCTCTCTCTCTGCCTGCCTCTCTGCCTACTTGTAATCTCTGTCAAATAAATAAAATCTTTTTTTTTTTTTAAATTTTTTTTTTTAAAGATTTTATTTATTTATTTATTTGAGAGAGAGATCACAAGTAGACAGAGAGGCAGGCAGAGAGAGAGAGAGAGAGAAGCAGGCTCCCTGCCAAGCAGAGAGCCCGATGCGGGACTCGATCCCAGGACCCTGAGATCATGACCTGAGCCGAAGGCAGCGGCTTAACCCACTGAGCCACCCAGGCGCCCTCAAATAAATAAAATCTTTAAAGAGTCTGACTCTTGATCTCAACTCAGGTCTCGATCTCAACGTCATGAGTTCAAGCCCCGCACTGGGCTCCATGCTGGGCATGGAGCCTATTTAAAAAAAAAAAAAAAAAAATCAATCTAGGACCAATATAGTAGGATATTTACAGGAAAATATTTCCTAGAACTTCCACACCTTTTTACCCATTCACAGTTCAATACCTAAGAAATGACTGATGGGAGAGGATGCTCTGGTAACAACCCTGTTGAGTACTTGCTCCAGAATTTCTTGTCTGATCATCTCATGGATCTGAAAAGGACAGAACAGTCAGTAAAATATTTCATTTTATGGGATATTTATGGTGACCTTCAGCTCATAATTGCATCAAATCATGTTAGGCAGAATGAGGAACAGTTTGGATATGGGTAAAACTCGACTGTTTATTTCAAAGACAAATATACTGTGAATCATCTGGAAAGACAGTCACTCAATTTTTTTTTCTTTTAAATTTTATTTTTTATAAACATATTTTTATTCCCAGGGGTCCAGGTCTGTGAATCGCCAGGTTTACACATTTCACAGCACTCACCGTAGCCCATACCCTCCCCAACGTCCATAACCCCATCAACCCTCAGTTTGTTTTGTGAGATTAAGAGTCACTTATGGTTTGTCTCCCTCCCAATCCCATCTTGTTTCATTTACTCTTCTCCTACCCCCTTCACCCCCATGTTGCATCTCCTCTCCCTCATATCAGGGAGATCACAGGATAGTTGTCTTTCTCTGACTGACTTATTTCGCTGAGCATGATACGCTCTAGTTCCATCCACGTCGTCGCACATGGCAAGATGTCATTTCTTTTCATGGCTGCGTAGTATTCCATTGGAGTCACTCAATTCTATCCTCATTCTGTGCTCAGAAGACTGACTGGCAGGGCCAACTACTAGGTTTGTTAGCCTACAAGAGGGCTCACGTGGAACAACTGCTATGTGTTAGGTTCAGCATCAAAAAGGAACAATTCTACTAAGGTATCCACTACATGCCCAAACCCTGATTTCGGACAGTATGCCATGTAGGACTCTCATCCTAAAATTTAAAAGCCCATGAAAATTTCTGGAAATCCAAAAAATCTTTTCCAAACCCTTCCTTGCTTTCTAGAAGCACAATAGTCCCCTAAAAAAAAAAAAGGCCTATTTTGAATTTTCATTAAAATTCTTAACTTGATTACAGTACAGATTAATTTCTTTCAGATCTCCGACTAACACTAGATTACTAGTAGTAAATTATATGCTTTATAGATGCCTCGACAGAGACATTTGTGTGAAACCAAAGAGAACCTCACTAGTTTAAAAAGAAAAAATTAATCTTAAAACAAAAAAATATTTAAATCTCTTACACTTTTAATCAGATTAAATCAGATTTATTTATTTAAATAAATCAGATGTATTTATTTATTCAAATACATCAGATTTATTTATTTATTTAAATAAATCAGATTATTTAAAAAGGTCATTTGCATCATCTAACAGACAACTCTCAAGGACTATTATACACATTCACTTCATAGTTCTGAATCGGAATAGATTTACATTCAAATTAGCCTCCAAGTAACATCTTCAGCAGACACGTTTGGCGTGTAGCTACGTTAATTTAATGTCAAGAAAATGACGTAGAGGAATCATTAGCAAAGTTGTTTAGCCTCAGACAAAACTAGCTCTTGTTTTAATTGAAAGTAAACGCATTTTTAAAAGCGGTTTCAGAAATTAAGATTGAGATGACGGTCGTTATATGGTAATAAATTTAAAAATATAAGAACTATTTTGGTTTCTTCAGAAACAATGAACCAATAAGCATAATTCTTCAAGTTTGATGTTCTACAGTGACCTAAAAGATTATTTTTTGTATAATAGCATCCAAAAGCACCCGCCAAAACAGAAAATGATCAAAAATGATTTACTACTAGAGGAAGAAGAGTAAATCATGAAATGCTAATTTATATTAAAATTTCTAATAAACAGAAAAAGGAGAAATTAAATGAAAACCTCATATAAATAAAGGATGAAAAAGTAAATATTCCATCAAGCTGGATCTGTCATGTTTCATTTACTATTCCAACCTCTGTTCCTGGAAACTGCTGCATACTCAAATTTCCTTGTCCTCCAAGCTTCCAAGCAAATGCCATGTCCTGTTTATAATACAATTTGACAGAATTAGGGAATGGTTCCCCAACTGGAGACTCACCTTAAAAGTTTCCAGCAGGATATTGGCACCCAGCTTACATGCATGCTGGTTTGGTATTTTTGAAAGACCTGAGCTCGTTTCAATAGATTTTCCATCAAGAATCTTCTTTGGCCCATATGAATCCATTAAAATGAAGCCAAGTTCTACCAGGCCCTGAGTAACGTGATCCCAACTATGAACACTGCAAAAAACCACAGAGCTTAGTTAAAAAGAACCTTACCTTTATGCTCATTGTCATGTTTACACATTTCCCAAATTTGACCTGGATCATCAATATTCTTTACATGAACCTTTTCATGTACCCTTATCTGTCAGAATTCTGAATTCCTATATTTCCACTGACAGAACACTGGCAAAATCCAGAAACTACAGAACATTCAAAATCATACAGATGAAACTGGAATATCTCAATGTACTGACCATCACACATTTCTATTCAAGATTGCAAGACTGGAAGCTAATTGTTGCTTCTTTTATTTTCCCGAAGACACTAACAACACTTATATTTTATACACACTTACAAGTTTGCCTCCCTCCCCAGAATGAGTTTCTTCCTGGTAGAGACCACCTTGTATCATATTTTTATCCGTACAGCCTCGCATAAGACTAACATTTAGAAGGTACACAGTAAATGTTCATAGCAGGAATATTTATATTCATATTTATGGTACGAAGCAATGCATGATCTGGCTTCAAAAGCATGAGCCAAACCTACAAATAACCTTTTGCACAGCAGTAGAATACTTGGTGATTTTATACCATTTAATGTTACCCACGGTAGAGGAAATGATATGCTTATAGTAACCTCTGTATCATTGTATCTACCTGCTAAATAGCAACAAATACTAATACAGCATTAAAGAACAAAGGAGACAGCTGTGAACAGATTCTCACAACATTTCAACAGATTTTAGTAATATTCACACTTTGGAGATCTGGGATCAAGATAATAGCCTAGCACATGCTCATTCTTCTCCCCACCCCCGAAAATCTCCTGTTAACTAGGGGAGTAAATAAAACCTGGAAGTTGAACTGGTTCCCAAGTGATTTTTTTCCTCGTACACTAATGTTCTGTACCTCCAAGTATCTGCAGGTAAACACAAAGTGTATCAACAGAACCGAGCACAGCAAAGCACAGAGGACTACAGTACAACTGTTCATGATGCCCCTGAGCCTGTTTTGTTTTGTTTGTTTTAAGATTTTATTTATTTGAGAGCAAGGGAGAGGGAGAGAGGGAGAGCACACAAGCCAGAGGAGAGGCGCATGGAGAAGCAGACTCCCTGCTCAGCAGGGAGCGTGAGCCGGGGCTCAGTCCCAGGACCCCTGGATTGTGACCCAAGCCAAAGGGAGATGCCACCCAAGCACCCAGCCTGTCTTCTTCCTTTTGGCTTAGGCTACATGCAAGCTGATATCTTTGAAGTATTCACTGTGTGGTTCTCCCTAATATTTGTGCATTTGGTTCTAGTCTCCAGAATCAGCTTCCATAGCCCCTTACTGTGCCCTTCCAGGTTACCACAACTTGTTTAAGGTGAAGTCCCATATTTACTGTAGCAGAACTTTTACGTTAAGAACATGTGGGAGGGGCACCCAGGTGGCCCAGTCAGTTAAGCTTCCAGCTCTTGGTTTTGGTTCGGGTAGTGATCTCAGCCCCTGAGTCAAGCTCCACACTCAGTGTGGGGTCTTCTTAACACTTTGTCTCTCAAAGCAAAATAGAACAACAACAAAAGACTTTCTCTCTCTTTCCCTTCACATGCTCTCTAAAATAAATAAATAAACCTAAAAAAAAAAATATATATATATGTGTGTGTGTGTGTGTGTGTGTGTGTGTGAAAGGAATATATCAAATGTCACTTTTTCTTATGGCTGAGTGGTATTTTAGTGTGTGTATATGTACCATATCTTCTTTATCCACTCATCTACTGATGGACACCTGGGTTGCTTTCATATCTTGGCTATGGAGAAACAGATAAAGGGGATTAAGAGGAAATTCCAGTTATAAAATAAGTAAGTCACAGAGATGGAAAGAACAGCACAGGGAATAATCTATAATAATAATAAAGTTGTATGGTAACAGATGGTGAATGCACTTATCATGGTGAGCACTGAACAAGGTACAGAATTGTCCAGTCAACATGCTGTACACCTGAAACTAAGAGAATACTGTATGCTGATTATACTTATAAAAACACATTGGATTTTTTTTTTAAGATTTTATTTATTTATTTGACAGACACAGATCACAAGTAGGCAAAGAGGCAGGCAGAGAGAGAGAGAGAGGAAGGGAAGCAGGTTCCCTGCTGAGCAGAGAGCCCGATGTGGGGCTCGATCCCAGGCTGGGATCATGACCCAAGCTGAAGACAGAGGCTTTAACCCGCTGAGCCTCCCAGGCACCCCAAAACACATTGGATATTAACTAGACCTACTGTGGTGATCATTTTAAGATACAAACACTGAATCATTACATCGTACACCTAAAACTAATATAATGCTATATGTCAGTTATATCTCAATTAAAAAAAAACCTTAGTGCTCTGGTTACAATGTCAAATATGTCTGCTCAGCCCTATCTTCCCCACAGTTACTGTCATTTTTAGAGTGTTAATTTTAAGAAACAGAAGGTTCTTCAGGAATATACTGTGTTACAGCAAAAATGGGAAAAATCAACTCTACATACTAACAGGCAAGTCTAACTAAATACAATAAAATACCATTAAAATGTGGTATGTGGGGTCCAAAAATTTAATCACATACAACATAAAATTATTTAGAGGTTAACTGACTAGGGAAAGCACGTGTAACTAACCAGGTGAGGATTTCAGGGAGTCTAGTAATATTCTCCAAATCCCTCCCCACTGAGGTTTGATCCTACCTGGTGTTAACAGCCCATCCTACCCTAATTATAGACAGAGACAGAACTCCAGGTCCTGTGGCTGACTGGAACTTCCAGAAGGACAGCTTTCCAGGAATTTCCTGGGTAGCTAACATGCCTGTATCTTTAGCCCAAACTGAAGAGACTGGGTTGGGAATATACAGGAGATACAACTATAAACCTCAGGAAAAAGAATAACCAGATACAGAGAAGATAAGGGAGCTTTAAAGCCTATCAATGGGTAAATCACTCAGAAAGAAAGGATTCTAGTCTGAAATTTGCCTTGTGTGTCAACCTCATGTAAACTCAATCTAAATCAGAATTCCAGGACATGGAATGAGATTTACCTCAAATTATGGCTTAAATTATAAAACTTTAAAACATTTAATCCACAAAGCAAACATGACACAGTAAAGACGGTTACTACAACTAATGTGTATCTTGAATTAAAATAAAGACCAGGGACACCTGGGTGGCTCAGTCCGTTGGGCCGCTGCCTTCCGCTCAGGTCATAATCCCAGGGTCCTGGGATCGAGTCCCGCATCAGGCTCCTTGCTCAGCAGGGAGACTGCTTCTCTCTCTGCCTCTGCCTGCCACTCTGCCTGCTTGTGCTCTCTCTCTCTCTGACAAATAAACAAACAAATAAAATCTTAAAAAAAAAAAAAAGTAGAAAAATAAAATAAAGACCAGTGTGGTTACCAATCTTTTCAATCTGGTTTAAAATGGGTTTATGTAGGGGTGCCTGGGTGGCTCAGTCAGTTGAGCATCTGCCTTCAGCTCCGGTCATGATCTCAGGGTCCTGGGATTGAGTCCGGCATTGGGCTCCCCACTCGGCATGGAATCTGCTCCACCCCTTTTAAGCCCTCTCTCAAATAAATAAATAAAATCTTCAATAAATAAATAAAATAAAATGGATTGGTATAAAACTGCTAATTCAATTTTATCCATCAGTCCTAAACTTCAACAGTTAAAGTAAATAAAACTTTTAATGTTTTTTTACTCACCTAAAAAGCCAATGAAGACTAAAGCCAAGAAAGAGGTAAAATATCATGACACAATCAAAGGCACCACTTTAGTTTATATTCTTACTATCAAGGTGGCCAAGAAATCAAGCTTAGGATTTAAGGATCTTTTGATACGGGAAAACCTCGCTAGAACAATTTCAAGGGATTAAACATTGATATGTGAAGTCAACAGCCACAGCCCTCAATTTTCTCTGATAAACCCCAAGTATGGCATTACACTGCATTTTCCAACACTAAATACCTTACGAACCTGCTGGGGTTTGGTTCATGAACTCACCTATTCTTCACGACTTCCAAGATCATGGTTGAAACACAGGACCTATGAGGGACTAGATTCTGAAGAAATTTTGAGCTTTGGAGAAGCTGATGATCCTTAAAGCTTTTTACAACTAAAGCTTTTAAAAGGTCAAATACCTAATATAATGAAAGAAACGGGAAAATGAGGCAAAAAATGACAGCCCATGCAACAGGATCTTAACTCTATTAACTGTTCCTACTTGCTACCATACACTTGCTTTCCTAAGATAGCTATTTTACTAGATGAGTATGATACAAAAATTATGACCTTCAGTGGGCACTTCAAAGAGTTGAAGACAGGCACTCCTTAAGAGAGAAAAAGGGCTGGGGCACCTAGGTGGCTCAGTTGGTCAAGTGTCCAACTCTTGATTTAGGCTCAGGTCATGATCTCAGGGTTGTGAGACCGAGCCCCACATCAGGCTTCACACTGGGCACAGGGTCTGCTTAAGATTCTCTTGCTCTGTGGCACCTGGTTGGCTCAGTCAGTTAAATGTCTGCCTTTGGCTCTAGAGTGCTAGACTGAAGCCCTTTGTCCTGCTCCCTGCTCAGTGGGGAGCCTGCTTCTCCCACTTGCCCCTCTCCCTGCTTGTGCTTTTTCTCACTCTTGCTCTCAAATAAATAAAATCTTAAAAAAAAAAAAAAAGATTCACTCACTCTCCCTACCCTTCACTCTCTCCCTCTCTCTCTAAAAAAAAAAATAGAGAGCTAAAGGAAAAGGGGTAAAATCCATATTAATATTACCCACAATCAGGGAACACATATGAGAAAAAAGGGTATAGGAGTTTATATTTCTATCCTTGCAACTACATCGCTCTCATTAATTTCAACTCAATCAGGGATGATTTCTTAAAAAACTGCAACATAATAAACTGTCGGTGAATTCCCAGCTAAACTTCCCATTTTCCACCTGACGGTGTAGTATGTTTCCACTCTTCTTCCCACTCACTACCTGGCTTACCACACCATAGGGAGGTAAAGAGCTTTGGAGAAGCTGACGATCCTTTAAAGCTTTTTACAACCAAGTACCTGAACAAGTCTCCGGGCAGCCCCCAGAAAACAGCGCGGGCCTACATGCCTCACCGAGGGATTCCCCACTAGCAGAACCAGCTAAGAAAGGGCTCTTGTGCTCCTTATCAACTACAGAATGAACCAAAAAGTCATTAATCAATACCTGTTCCTCAAATCTTTGTATTCTTGTTACAGAGAGCAGGAGGGCAATGCTGAAGGGACATATGTTATTACTGAAATCTCCTTGCTGTCCGGCCTACAGAGAAACCAAAAAGGAGTCATTATTTACATCTTAAAAGTATAACATAGCCTACTGAAGACAGGTCCTTAAATGGATCAGAAATCTAAACTTCAGACCTAAAACTATCAAGCTTTAAAAACAAAATATATTGGAAAATCTTTAAAACCTTGAATTAGGCAAAGATTAGATATAATACCAAAACCGTAATTTATGAAAATAAATTTAAGAAAATTTAATTTAATATTTAAAAATAATTTAAGAAAAAACTGATACATTGAACCTCATAAAAATTCAAACATTCGTGTTTCAAAAGATACCATTAAGAAGATAGAAAGATGAGGCACTGACTGGAAGAAATACTTACTAATTAGCTACATGATAAAGGACTTACACTCAGAATATATAGAGAATTCCTAAAATTCAGTAAGATATGCAATCAAAAAATGGGCGAAAGATTTAAAGAGACATTTCTCCAGAGAAGATCTCAGAACAGCTAATCAGCACGTGAAAAAGTGCTCAATTAGCAGTCATTAAGGGACTGCAAAGCAAAACCTCAGTGAGATACTGGTTCATACACACTGAAACAGCTATGATAAAAAAGACAGTAACAATGTCGGCAGGGACCCAGATAAATAGGAATCCTCCTACAGTGCTGGTGGGAATGTAAAATGACATAGCCACTTTGGTGAAAATGAAATATAGAGTTATCACATAACCCAGAAATTCCACTTCTAGGTGTCCATCCAAAGGAAGTGAAACATATATCCACATGAAGACCTACACATGAATGTTCACAATAGCGTTATTCATAATAGCCCAGAAGTGGAAACAATTCAAATGTCCATCAACTGGTGAACAGCTAAACCAATCTGATAGATCCACACAGCAGAATACTATTAAACAAGAAAGAATGAAATCTGACAGAGGCTACAACACATGAATAGCTTTGTAAACATCATGCTAAATGAAAGAAGTCATACACAAGAGATCATGTATTGTATAATTCCCTTTACAGGAACTGTCTAGCAGAGGTCAGTCTATGGAGACCATAGATCAGTGGTGGCCTGGGAATGTGAATTCACTATAAGTGAGCATAAGGGATTTTACAGGGTGATGAAAATGTTCTAAACCTGGGTTATGGTGATGGTTGCATAAGGAGGTAAACTTAAAATGGATAAATTGTATGTCATGTAAATTTTATCTCAGAGAAGGACAAGCATCATATGATTTCACTCATGTGAAATTTAAGAAACAGAACTGATGAACATAAGGGGAGGGAAGGAAAAATAAAACAAGATGAAAATAGAGAGGGAGGTAAACCATAAGAGACCCTTAACTCTAGGAAACAAACGGTTGCTGAGGGAAAGGTGGGTGGGAGGATGGGGTAACTGGGTGATGGGCATTAAGGAGGGCACAGGATATAATGAGCACTGGGTGTCATATACAACTGATGAATTACAAAATTCTACCTCTGAAACTAATAACACACTACATGCTAGCTAAATTGAATTTAAATAAGAAAATATCTCAATAAAATTTTAAAAATAGGTCTTTGAGGCCTAAAAGAAATGATACCCAAAAGACAATAAAAAAATCCAAAAAACCAACAAAAATAATACAATGGTGTAGATCAAGAAATACAAAACTGGTGGGGCGCCTGGGTGTCTCAGCCGGTTAAGCGTCTGCCTTCAGCTCAGGTCTGGGATCAAGCCTGCATCAGGCTCTCTGCTTAGCAGGGAGTAAGCTTCTCCGCCACACCTCCCCCTCCATCCCCCACCCTGATACCCCCGACCCCCAACCCCCGCCAGGCTTGCCTGTGCATGTGCTCTCTCTTTCTGAAATAAATAAAATCTTTTAAAAAAAGACAAAACTGATTCTTTGAAAAGATCAATGATCTTTAGTTTTATAGTAACTAAATAAAAAGAAGAGTGAACATGTACAGGGGAGATAAAGAAGCTTTAAAGTCTAGCTCCACATCACTGCCTTTAAATATCCTTTCCTACGAAAGGGACCCAGGGCTCCTTGGAGAAACAGGTGATAGCCATATGAATAGGGAAACCAAATACAAGGAGAGCCTTGGATAGCAGTGCTCAAAGGGTCATGTCAGAAGGACACAGAAGCCAACGCAAGGATCCACCTGGCCAAATATGGGTCTCATCTGGAGTACTGAATAATGAAGACAAGGAACTAAAGAAGGTTAGTGGGTGCATAACAGATAAGGGAGGCGAGGCTTTTTTCACCACAGAAAGCCAGCTAATAATGTAGAAAGAATAAGAGACTTGGAAATTTTTTATTTTAATTCTACCATTTTGCAACTCCCCATATAATTACTGATTAACACTAATAGTCAGTAGATGGGAAAATGAAAACCACTGTGTGAAAGGCTAAGGAAAAGGATTTTCACATGATCTAAATTATAAGCCCACAGATCACTTTCTAATTACAAAAGGAAACCTAGATCTTTGCAATTGAAGAAAACCGATGGTCACTGTCTTAACCAAAAGATGAAACAGGAAAAAATAGGTCCTTTACCTGTACACTTAATATTCTTTAAGAATTCAAAACACTTTTAATTTTATTCTTGCAACCTCACACACATGTAATGATGAATGACTTAGTTTCACAAAACTCCATAATACACTACTAGAAATAGGCACTCTCCCAATTCTCAAATGGAGAAAGAGGAGAGGTCAAGGTTGAAGCTCGCCTAGGACAATGATGGAGTTATGATGTAATGTTAAGTTTCCTGCTGAACAGTCCTCATCTTTTTTTTCTTTTTAAACACTCAAACATTTAAGCCTGGTGTTAAAATGGAACTTGCTTAAGAATGTGGTGACGTATATTTTCTACTTTCAAAGTAAAAGGCATCCCCTAGATCTCGGGCCACTATACAATGCTTCCACTCGTCTCCTGTCATTAACGGGCATCAAAGAGGCCTGAGTTTACACATCCCTGTTCCAGAGAGAGCTCCTGGGTCACCGAAGGAGTCTGCGGTTACCTTTAGGTGTTTCAGGAGCTCTCTGCCTAGTTCACAGTCCAGTTTGACGGCAAACACAATGTGTAGTATAATGGTGCCTTCCACATGACGCAGTTCACCTGATGGCACGGTAACAAGATCCAACAGCCTGAAAGATTCAACAGAAAGGTATGAGCTAGTTTGAGCAAGAGACAAGAGTGTAGGTACTCCGATGAACTCAAGTTGAACTCATACTGGAGGCAGGAAGTGTAAATTCTACTGCCTCATTCCTAGCTTCTTTATAACAAAACTTCCTGAAAGCATGAATTGTCTATTATCATTAATTCCACTTCTTTACCTGTTCTCCGTTAAATCCAATTCAACCAGGCTCTGTCCCCTCTCTACCCACTCCCCTCAATGCCATTTGACTATTCTTGCAAAGGTTACAAATGACCTCTACGTTGCCAAAACCTATAATCAAGTCGCACCTTTATTAATACCCCTGCAGACAGGACACAATTGACCACTTCTTTCTTGAAACACCCTCTTCTCTTCTAGGGCACTGTCACTGAATTCTTCTCCATTTCTTTTTTTTTTTTGGCTGGCTCATCCTCCCTTTAAATGGTGGAATGCTGCTAAGTTCAGTCATGGGTTTTCTTCACAATTTCCTTAGGACTCCCTATCCAGTTCCATGGTTTTAGTTCTTTCCAATGTCTTATCTCTAGACTGTCTGCTTAATACCTCCATATGGGATGCTAATATACATCTCAAACTTAACATGGTTAAAACTGAGCTTATTTTGTCCTACACATGCTTTTCCATCAGCTTTTCCTAAATCCGTATATAAGATCATCCTATAATCAGGTGCTCAAGCCACGTAACAAAAAGTCACCCTACAGTAGAAGTGGTGGGCTACAATCAGATTAACAGCATGAGCTCTGCAGCCATGGGTTGAAATCTCAGCTCCACTGCTATATCATCTTGGGTTATCCTTTAATTTCTCCATGCCTCAGTTTCTGCATGCATTAAGTAGAGGCAAAATAGGGCTGTTGTGAGGTTTAAGTGCTTAGAACAGCACCTGGCACAGGTAAACACTCTACAAATATTTGCTTTAGGAAAAATCTTTTTTAAGGGCTCCAGGGTGGCTCAGTCAGTTAAGCGTCTGCCAGGTCATGATCCCAGGGTCCTAGGGTCGAGCTCTGCATCGGGCTCCCTGCTTGGAGGGGTGTCTGCTTCTCCCTCTCCCTCTGTGGCTCCCCGTGCTTGTGCTCGCTCTCTGTCAAATAACTAAGTAAAACCTTTAAAAAAAAAAATCTTCAGACATGCCAAGCTGTGTCCTGCATTCATACTAACTATTCCACGAGCTGAGAATGTTCTTTTCTCTGATCTACATAATGTGGCTCTTATCATTCAGGCTTCACTTAAAGTAACACCCTCTTCAAGAGGTTTTTCTTGACCGCCACTCTAAAGGAGCTACATTGTCACTATCACGTCATCCATTTGAGTTATCTGCATAGCACTTTCTAGTATTTTTCTATTTTATTTCCTGTTCTCTTCTCACCAATATTTAAACTCTTTGAAAGCAGGGAGCTTGTCTGACTGCTTCAACACTACAGTCCCAGGGCCAAATAGTCCCTAGCACAGAGTAGACACTTTATAAACAGCTTATAATCTTGCAACTTCCACAACAACTACCTCTGTTCTCCTGGAGAGCTGTAAATAAGGTAGGTGAGGAGGCTGGCTGCTTTAGGACTAAGCAGCTCAGAGAGGACTAGGGAAGTTCTGTGCTAAGGTGAAGGCAGGGACTGAAAGGTTAAATAAGAGGAAGTCAAACACATAAAAGAAGACACATCTGTCAAAATGACTTTATTTCTGTACTGTATTACTCACTCATCACCACTCTGTTCCTCATTGTGTCGCTTATCTAGCTCGTTGAAGAAAGCTATGATTCCTTCCAAAGCCCTCCTTCTGCTTCCCTGAAAAAATACAAAAAAGGTAAGGTCTCCCCATAAACAGCAAGGCCACCAAGTTGAACTTAAACTACTTTTCAGCTTAGAGGATTCTCAAATATGAACCTAAATAGGTAAATTACAACCTAAAGTCACACCAAGGATTTACAGAACACTTTTTCAAGTTGAGATTGGGTTTGAAATGCATCTTAGTGTCAGACTTAAGGGGCCAATAGTCCACACTTTCTTGAGATCTTTATCTCTTCTGCTAACACACACACACAATGTGGGAATACAAGAGACATGCGTATTTTCATTGGCCAAGGAGCATGACCCTTTTACCCATCATATCATCAGACACGAAATGAAAGCATCTATGCCCTAGTATGTAAATCAAGAGTAAGGATAAGCTGAATGGCCCTAACTGATCATTCCACTAGAGTTAAAAAAATATATATATATACATATATATAAATATAATGTGTGTGTATATATATGTGTGTGTGTGTGTGTGTGTATATATATATATATTTTTTTTTTTTTTTAATACCTTTGAGGAGAGAACTAGAAGCTGATAGACCAGAGGTGGTATTTCTTGAAGATTCAACTTGCCGAACATCCTCAATACTTTTTCCACCACAAATTCCACCTCTTCTGCAGTCAGAGGGACATCTCTGTGGATCAAAGACTCTGAAGGTCAGAGCTACAGCCTAATTTGGGAGACATTAGAATATTATAACTGCCTCTTTGGTTTTTATCTAAGAGAGAACCATAAAAGGGGCCAAAAGCTTTACATAAGCAAAGTCACATTGGAAAAAAATCATAGTTCTACTTTAAATAAGCAATTAAAGTAAAAAAGGGAGAAAATTCTGTAACAGAAAAGAGGTACCAATACTCTTACTTGGGGGAGAGTAGTGTTTGAGCTTGCTAAACTTCAATTTCTAACCGACAAGTTCCCACAGCAAGGAAAAATGAGAAAAGGGAATAATGATGCTTACTTGAACATGGAGGTAAGTTGGATTACATACTGCTGATCCCATCTGGTTAAAGAAAATGACAAAGAATATGAAAGTTCATCTCAATTTAATTCATTTGCATATTACTATGTAAAATTAATAAGGAGGGAAAAAATTAAGGTCATTTCAAGTTTGATTGGGTTCCACTGGAAAACAAGATCAAAGACTCAATGAAGTAACAGCTTTTAACCCACAAAACTACAAAAATCCAAGTCTGATGATATTCAATGCTGGGAATTTTGGGGAAACAAATGCTCTCCATATACTATTTTAGAGAGTGTATACTGATATAACCCTTCTGGAAAGATAAGCTAGCAATAATTATCAAGTTTAAAAATGCACATAACCACAGATCCCTTCAAATTAGTATTAGAAATATATCCCGAGTACAGGCTTATAAAAAGTCACCTAGATGTAAGGATGTTCATTGCAATACTTTTTATAATAGCAAAAAACCAAATAACTATATATTATTTATTGGGAAAAAAACCACTCTTAACAATTAGAGATTAGCCATTTATAACAGAATAGTATGAAACTATTGAAAAGAAGATGTAGGGGCACCTGGGTGGCTTATTCAGTTAAGCATCTGCCTTTGACTCAGGCCATGATCCCAGAGTCCTGGGATAGAGCCCTGCATTGGGTTCCCTGCTCAGAGAACATATTTCTCTCTTTCCTCCCTGCTTGGGCTATCGGTCTCTCTCTTTCAAATAAATAAAATCTTTTTTAAAAAAGGAACGATGTAGAGTTGTGTATACTGACACAAACAGATGTGTTAAATGAAAAATGCAAGGTATAATACAGTATGTACCGAATAAACTCTTTAGTGTATTAAAAACGAATGAGGGATGCCTGGCTGGCTCAGTTGGAGAAGCATGTGATTCTTGATCTCAGGATCGAGTTTGACCCCCCCATGTTAGGTATAGAGATCATTTAAAAATAAAATCTTTAGAGGCGCCTGAGTGGCTCAGTTGGTTAAGCAACTGCCTTCATCTCAGGTCATGATCCCAGGGTCCTGGGATCGAGTCCTGCATTGGGTTCCCTGCTCGGTGGGGAGCCTGCTTCTCCCTCTTCTGCTCCCCTGGCTTGTGCTCTCTTTCTCTCTCTCTGTCAAATAAATAAAATCTTTAAAAAAGAAAATTTAAAAAAAAATCCTAAAAAAATTTTTTAAATTTAAAAACAAATGAGTGGATACATACTTAAAATTAGGTATGTTAAGGATCTTATATAAAGAACCATAAAAGCTGTTATTTCTGATTGGATGCTCCCTTCTGTTTCTTTTTAATGTTCCCAAATGTAATCACTGTATTACACAACTTAGTATTCTCTTTATTTCACGGACTATAGAAGGATTTTTCACCTTTGATGGTTTTATATATTTCACTTTAATGGGTTTAAATTTCATGGAGTGGCTCTACCTTAACTTACATAGGTTACATACCATAATAACTTACATTTCTCTATTATTATATGCTTAAGTGGGTCACAATCTTCTGGGTTGAACATGTTCATATATGAAGATTTTCTTATTATGCTGGAGTCTTTCCTTAGGGTAGCTTCCCATATTTCCGGCTTAAAGGTACAACCATTAATTATATATATCTCACTCATTTAAAAAAAATATAAAAGATATAGCAGCAGGGTGACTTCTCAGCCTTAAGGACCTTAGGACTCCAAATAAAGCTAGAGGACAAAACTGTGTTAAGATGAAAGTCAAGTAGAGGCGCCTGGGTGGCTCAGCGAGTTAAGCTTTTGCCTTCGGCTCCGGTCATGATCTTAGGGTCCTGGGATTGAGCCCTACATCGGGCTCTCTGCTCAGCGGGGGCCTGCCTCCCCCTCCTCTCTCTGCCTGCCTCTCTGCCTACTTGTGATCTCTGTCTGTCAAATAAACAAACAAAATCTTTTAAAAAAAAAAGATGAAAGTCAAGTAAATAGAAACTATATGGAATCTTAGAACAGAAAGTACAGTAAATAATCTCCAAAAAATTCATCACAAACTATATAAAGAGTTTTATGCTATACATTATAAACAAACTAACAGACTGAAGACTTAGTGATACAAATTCCTAAAATAAACAGTAATCCCTTTTTTGGCCACTTGTCCATCTGAGAAACTGCTACACATTAATAAGACTCACCTGCCAGAACACAGGGTGTTAATCAACTGCTTCTTACATTCCTCCCCACTCAGTTCACCTGGAAATGCAAAATACACTGAGAATTAAATTTGATTAAGTAACTAGCAAAAAGCCACTAAATTTGGAAGAAAATTACCTTTTCCATAATCTAGATTTTCCTTGTTGGCAACAAGGGCAGTGAGAATAACGGGTAATAACTCCAAAGATTTTCCATTTGTCAAGCTGCCCTCTTTGATAGCACCAACAAACTCCTTGGCTAATTCAACCAGTAATGATCCTGGAAAATTGTGAGCCTAAAAGTTTATGGGATAAAGAAAATGTTAAGCAGAAATCTAGATGTTTGGTATCTCCACAAAATAGTGTCTCTTGCTGAATTAACAGAACTGGTACTGAAACCCAGAACTGGTCCTATAAGGGATCCAAGAGAGCGACTGCTCTGGTACAAACTTATAAGATTTCAAAGGTCAGAATCCTCCATCAGTTCTCCAGTGTTTTCAAATACTCTTCAAAGATACCAGATGTCCACAATATCAGAAATTAACATAAACATGGGTTTATGGCCCATCCATCATCTATTCCGTTTAACAGTAGTTCTTATTCATAAGTAAGAACTATGTAGGCTAGGTTCGACACGTTTAAGTTTACCCTCCCTTAACAAATTACAAGCCCCGTCCCCAAATCCACCCAAAACCAAAAAAGCTTTTGTTTCCCATCTTACCTCTAGCATTAGTAATCCTATGATCTCAGATGCTACTTCTTTCTTCAAGTCTCCTGACTCCACTAAGTGGATACAACATATGTATATCTTAAGTCTCCTCAGAGCTCCAGCCTCCTCAGAGCAGGGGGAACCTTATTGTTTTAAACGAGTAGTACAGAAACAAATAAAGGAAGAAATCTTAGAAAGTCGAAGGGCAAACAGGAAAAACAAACAGCAATATGGTTTTAATACAGAAGTAGAATTATCAAACTACTGATTACTAGAATGTTTAGAACAGCAATATTTAGAGCTTTATAAGAATACTTAAATGAGACAGACGACTGAAATGCGATCTTTTTTTTTCCTCCTACAGCATTAATTTGTAAAACAAATTCATAGTGAAAAAGGAGAAATACCTTCTAATACACCTTAGAGCCTTTTGGGGCCCAGTAACCCAAATTAAATGTCTTTAACATATTCCACTTCAAAACATAACTGAGTAATGCCAGCAGGAATGGCAGAATAATAAAGACCTCAGAAAATCCTTCCCCCCATAAAAGCAGTAAGAAAACTGACAAAGATAATGAAAACCATCAACAACAACAATCCTGGGAGAGGAAAATGGGATCTGATTTCCAGAGTTCCCACAAAATATCTTTTAAAATGTCCCCAAGAGTATGGCCCATATACAGGAAAAAACAGAATAGAAATTAACACACAAGCCACAAACTGATAGATCTGCAAGACACATATCTAATAAACAACATGTATCCAGAATAAGTAAAGAAATCTTAAAACAAAAATAGGAAAACATACAGCCCAATTTTTAAAATGGACCAAAGATCTAAACAGGCAAAACAAAACAAAACAAAACAAAAACCAAACCCTATGGATGGCAAGTAAGCCTACAAAGACGTGCTCAACATAATTTTCCGTTACGGAAGTAAAAACGCAAACAACTATTAAATACCACTGCCTGCCTACTGGAACGGCTACAATCCAGAAACCCTGACCCCGCCGAATGCTAGCGGCCACGCAGAGCGCGGGGAAAGCTCCTTCATCGCTCCTGAGGAACACACGGCGAGGCGACCACTTTGGAAGACAGGTTGGCAGTTTCTTATAAAGTTAAACACAAACTTGCCATACGCCCCTGAAGCCATCGCACTCCCAGGTAATTTACCTCAGCCAATTAAAACTTAGGGCAACACAAAAACCTATTTGCTGAAAACCAATGTTTACCACAGCTTTGCTCATTGTCATCAAAAACCAGAAGCAACCACGTTGTCTTTCGGTAGGTGAACGGATGAACCGTGGGCCCCCATACAATGGGGGACTGTTCGGTGATAGAAGGACTGAGCTACTGACTCACACGACATGAATAAATCTTAAATGCATTTTGTCAGGTGAGTGAACACAGATCAAAAGAGCTACATGTTGAGCGCCTGGGTGGCTCAGTTGGTTAAGCGTCTACCTTCAGCTTAGATCATGACCTCAGGGTCCTGGGATCGAGCCCCGCATTGGGCTTCCCACTCAGTGGACCCTGCTTCTGCTTCCCCTCTGCCTGCTGCTCCCTCTTGTGCTCTCTCTGCCAAATAATAAGTAAAATCTTAACAACAACAAAAAAAACCAACCACCACCACCACCACACACACATACACAAACCCCAGCTACAGGCTGTGTGATTATATTCACGTGACATTCTGGGAAAAGTAAAACTGTAGGGACAAAAAACCCAGGTGAGTGGTTGACAGGCTGGGGGGAAGGGAAGTGGGCAACTGCAGAGGGGAGGCCTGGGGGGGTTTCAGGTGATGGGATTATCCTGTAGGATCCTGGAGTGCTGCATACAGAATCCTAAGTACTGCTAAATGCATAGAACTTGACAGCCCGGAGACTGAGCTTTAACACATGCACATGAAAAAAAAAAAAAAATCCTCCCAAGGGGGCGCTCAGTCAAGCTCTCTGATGAATAAAATCTAAAAAATGATGAATAAAATCTTAAAAAAAAAAAGAAATAAAAGGCATCCAATTTGAAAAACAAGTGAAAGTATCCCTATTCATAAATGACATAATCATGTTTATAGAAAACTCTAAGGTAGACTCAAAAAAATAAATTGTTAGAGGGCGGCACCTGGCCGGTCAGTCGGTGGAACATGTGACTCTTCTTGATCCAGGGGTCGTGAGTTTGAGTCGCATGTTAGGAGCAGGGATTACTTTTTTTTTTCCTAGATTTTATTTATTTATTTGACAGAGAAAGAGAGCACAAGTAGGGGGAGCAGCAAACAAAGGCAGAGGGAGAAGCAGACTCCTCTCCAAGCAGCCAGCCTGATGCAGGGCTCGATCCCAGGGTCCCAGGATTAGGACCTGACCGGAAGGCAAATGCTTAACTAAGCCATCAAAGTGCCCCTTTTGAGATTACTTTAAAATAAAATCTTATCTCAGGGTCCTGAGATTGAGCCCGGCATGGGCTCTCTGCTAAGTAGGGATCCTGCTCCAGATTCTCATTCTCTCTCCGTCTGGCTCTCCACCCACCTGCCCATTCTCTCTCTCTCTCTTTCTCCAAATAAATAAATTTAAAAATATAATCTTAAAAAAAAGTCTACTACATTTCCATATACTAACAATGAACAATTAGATGACTAAATTAAGAAAATTCCATTTACAATAGCATCAAAAAAATAGAATACTTAGGAATAAATCTTTAAAAAGTATGTATAAGACTTATATTCTGAAGATTATAAAATACCACTGGAAGAAATAAAGAGAACCTAAGTAAATGGAAAAGACATTCCATGTTCATGTAATGGAAGACTTAGGCTAAGATAGCAATATTTCTCACATTCACACACAGCTTCAACACAATTCTACTAAAACCCCAGCTTCCCTTTTTTCAGAAACTGACAAGCTAATCTTAAAATTCATATGAAAACACAACAGACCATGAATATCCGAAAAAATCCTGAAAAAGAAAAACAAAGTTGGAGGACTCAAACTTCTCGATTTTAAAACTTACAACAATACAGTAATCAAGACAGTGTGGTGCTGACGTAAGGAGACATACAGATTAAGGGACTAGAACCTTGAGTCTAGACATAAGCCCTCACATTTCTGGGCAACTGATTTTCAGTAAGAGTTCTAGTGAAAACAAGACAAGATGAAGTTGGACACCCACATCACACCACATACAAATATAAACTCAAAATGGATCAAAGATCTAAATGTAAAGCTAAGGCTATAAAACTTTGAAAACAAAACATGGGTTTAAATCTTCATAACTTTGGACTAAGCAATGGTATCTTAGATAAAACACTCAAAGAACAAGCTATAAGAAAATAAAATGGACGTCAAAAAACTTTGTGCTTCAAAGCATACTGTCAAAAAAGAGTGAAAAACAACCCCGAATGGGAGAAAATGTTTGCAAATCATATATTTAATAAGGGACATGTACCTAGAACATATCAAGAACTATTACAACTCAATAAAAAAATGACAACCCAATTTTTTAAAGTGCAAATTATCTGAATAGACAGTTCTCCAAAGAAGATGCAGAAATGGTCAGTAAACACCTGAAAGGATGCGCCACATCATGAGCCCTCAGAGAAACGCTTATCAAAACAACAGCGAGATACCACCCCCAGCCCCTAGTATGGCTACCATGAGGAAGACAGTAAGAAGGTTGACAAGGATATGGAGAAACCATCATCCTCCTTCAGTGCTGGTGGGAACATAATATAGAAGACAACCAAGATATTCCAAGTCATTAAGCCCCAGAGCTCCTTTGCCCCTCGTTAATAAGCACAGGTTAAGTACTAAACATTGTTTTCTTCTCCACAATTCTCAAAGCACAAGGAAACCAAAGTGATTTCATGAAAATGTGTCCTTTATAGGCCCCCAAACCAGTGATACAATCTCAAGTATCCACTTCAATCCCCTTAAGTAAAATTATTTGAGTCCGTAAGACAGGAGGCTGCTTGCCTTAGTTGACTTTGTGAATGTATCCCAAATCACAGAAAAGTCTCAGTGCGGCTTCAAACAGTAAGAAAAGCAGCAATATGTGTCCAAAGTAAACCAATCTAGTGAACCCAGGCGGGCAGAAGTGGCATGAATTATTACCTTTGAAGATGGCTCGCAGGAGCGCTCCTGCAGCTTTTCCTTTCACGGCCTGATTCTGGAGGAGATCAGCCAGCTGCAATGAAAGAAAGCAGCTTCAAGTTTCTGGCAACAATTTTTCTATCCCAATGGCCTAAAGTCCCAATATGAATCCTCGGTCAGGTTCACCCCCTTCAGAGACTTCAGGTTTCACAAACACCATGGACTTAGCACAGAACTTAACAGGATGCATGGCTGTCGAGACTGAAATTTATTTGTATCTCCACTCTATAATGTCGAAGTACAACAGAACTAACTAAAGAGAAAAGAGCACAGTGATAGGATACTCTCTCCTTTTTTTAAATACGTCTTATTCCTTCTGTAGAGAATGGCTGGTGGGGTGGGGCTTAAAAGTGAAAGAGGGGTATGTTAGGAGACTGCAACAGTGTTCAAAAGTGAGAGACGGTAGTGGCCTAGCCCAAAGAGCACTGGTTGGACTGTGCCTGCACCACCCCCCTTCAACATTAATGTTGTTGGGGCACCTGGGTGGCTCAGTGGGTTAAGCCTCTGCCTTCGGCTCAGGTCATGATCTCAGGGCTCTGGGATCGAGCCCTAAATTGGGCTCTTTGCTCAGCAGGGAGCCTGCTTCCCCATCCCCTCTCTCTGCCTACTTGTGATCTGTCAAATAAATAAATAAAATCTTAAAAAAAATTAATGTTGGAGTTCTGACCTACAGGACCTCAGAATGTGACCTTATGTGAAAATAGGGCTGTTGCAAACGTAATTTGTTGAGGTCATTACAGTTGGTGCAAATAGGACTATCCTCATACGAAGGGGAATCTTGGACACAGAGACAGATGCGCAAGTGTGCTGAGTGAAAACGAAGCAGAGAGCAGGGTGACAGAAGCTCAGGAACACCAGAGATTGTCACCAATCCCTGGAAGCTAGATGACATTCTCACAGCCTCAAAGAAACCAACACTGCTAGCACTTCGATCCTGAAAATTTGAATTTCCAACCAGAAAAATAAATTTTTATCATTTAAGGTCCTCAGTTTATAATACTTTTATAGTTGGCAGCCCTGGCAAACTAAAAAAGAAGTAGACTAAAGATATATTTGACGGCTCAAATTAGTAGGATTTTGCTGTGGTCTGAATGTTTATGTCCCCCCTAAATGCACATGTTGGAATCCTAATGCCCAATGTGATAGTATTTGGAAAGGGGACTTTTGGAGATAATTAGGTCATAAGGAGAGAACTCCCATGAATGAGATGAGTCAATTAAGAGATCCCACAGAGCTCCGTGGCTCCTTCCGCCATGTGAGCCTACAACATGAAGTCTGCAATCCAGAATGGGGACTTCATCTGACAATACTGGCACTCTCATCTCTGAATTCTAGCCTCCAGAACCATGATAAATAAATGCTCCTCGTTCATAACTCCACATATGAGTTAGAGCATATAATTATCTTTTCCTGTGACTTATTTCACTTAGCATAATGCCTTCTACTTCCATCCACATCATTGCAAATGGCCAGGATTTCTTTTTCTTTTTTATTTTTTTGATGGCTTAGTATTCCATTGAGTATACATACCGCATCATCTTTATCCATTCATTTGTCAAGGGGCATCTGGGCTCTTTACATAGTCTGGCTATTATGGATATTGCTGCTATAAACATTGAAACCCTTACACTTCTTGAAACAATTTCAGTTTCATTAGAAAGCAGTGTGGCATGGGGGAAAAAAGAAAACTGGACCTAGAATCAGATGATGAATCCTGGCCATGCCATTTACCGGCTTCATGATCTCAGTCAAGTTATTTGACTCTATGTGTCTCCATTTCCCTACCTCCAAGGACAGTTAGGAGGATTCAATTAGATGACACACAGAGAACTCTGTCCTTGCTCTCTTTCCTCCCTCCACTTACATGATCTTTCCTCTTCCTTTTTGACTTTTTGCTTTTTACTGCATTTTAAAACACAAAAGTAAACGAAATAAGATTTTGTATCCTTGTCGTTTCAGACGGCTTTAACATTTTTCTTTTAATTGGTAGACTGCAACTATCAAGTTAACGGCACAGTCCAAATACAGACTTTTTTTTTCCCTAAATAGAACAGCCCTCATTTTGCAATGTCTGATGTTTCCTCATGATTATACGGAGTTTATGCATTCCTGGTCAGAACACAGGTGATACTGTGTCCTTCTCATAGCGTCACACCTACAGGCATGTGATGTCCGTCTATCCCTCACCGGTAATACTAATTCTGGTGTCATAGCGTCACACCTACAGGCATGTGATGTCCGTCTATCCCTCATCGGTAATACTAATTCTGGTCACTTGGTCAAGTGTTTTGCTTCATTTTCCCACTTTATAGTTACAACCAGCGAGCAGTTTGTAGGGGGACACTTTGACCATGCACATATCCTGCTCCTCATCTAGTTTTCCCCTTGTATAATGGAAAAGCTCAACAACAACCACCATTACGAGGTTATCGAAGTCAATATCACCAGGAATGACATAGACATCATGAGCCCAGCAATACAATACACTTGGAAAAGGCAAGCCACCATTTCAGGGGTCCCTCTACCAGGGATAAATGACCTCAATCCAATCATGAGACACACCAGACAGGCACCAACTGAGGGACACTCAGCACAATAACTGATCAATACTCTGCAGGGTTATCAAGATCATGAGAAACACAGACTGAGGAACCACTGCAAAGTGCAGAAAATCAGGGAAAAATAACAAGTGCAATGTACTATGCTGAGTGGGATTCTTAGGGGAAAAAATGACATTAGTGGAAAAACCACCATGCAGAGTTTGAATAGAGTCTTTAGGTTAGCTAATGGTATTGTGCCCATGTTAATTTCTTGATTCTTAAAATTCTAAGGTTATGTAAGATGTAAGATGCTATGGGAGGGATACACAAAAATTCTCTGTATTATTTTTACAACTTTTCTGTAAGTCTAAAAGTAGCTCAAAATAAAAAGCAAAAAAAACAAAAACAAAAACAAAAAATTCCCTGGATTTAGCATCCACTGGTTTCTTGCCTGATCCAATCTTCATCATGACAGCTGCAAAATGACGATTTTCTAATGCTAGCACAGTAAGCAAAAGACTGTCCTTCTCCCCATTTATTTTTTTATTATCAGTATGGAATCAGAGACTTATTTTTCAATGTCTTATAATTCATAACTGAACTTAATTATTTTGATGTTCTAATAGTCTCAGATGTAGGTGATGGAACCCCTCCGAGCTAGCTTGTATGTCCTTGTGACTTGCCCTCATCATTTTTTCTGAGCACTTCTTTACTTTCTGGCTTAGCAAGATGTTCCAGGCTCATTTTGTATCTATCAAGCACCCCTCTTAAAATCAGCCATTTCTCTGAAAAACCCTGGTTCCTTGTAGTGGGGAATGATTATTAGAGACCAAAGATCTAATTCATGGCTGTGCTTGTTACTACTGTGGCATGTTTGGTGCCTCATCTTAGTTCTTTCAGTGAACAGAGCTTTAAAACACACACACACAGAGGTATGTATACGTATATGCAAATACATACAAATATACATGTGTGTGGATATGCATATATGTCATTAAGCTCATATCAGCACTTCCATTTCTAATTTATCCCCACAGGGTTCTTTCTTGCCTTCCTATATCCTGTATTTATCCCTTGTACCACAGTAAAAATGCTGACTCCCAACCTCAACACATTTACTGAACTCTGTATTACATCTAAAAATCATTTCAGAAGTGCGCTGCCCATAACATCATATTAAATAATCCTTTTTCAAAAAGTTCAAAGTTTATTTGTATTTCTTCCTTCAATCCTCTGCCCAAGACAGAGGGTATATAGTCAAATACTTGGTTTAGCTCTTTTTTTTCCCCCACCTCCCCGCCTTCAGTATGGTTATGGAATTCTTCCTGAGTTTCTTTTTATAAGGATACACAGATATATGTACACTTTACTTCCCTTCTTTCTTATATAAAAGGTAGAATAATACACATTTTTCATTTTGCCTTTTTAACTTAGTATCTTCTGGAAATCACTATCAGTCCCTATTGAACTTCATTCTTTTCTACAGAGTCAAAGAACCACCTTGTGCATAATATAATTTCATGTTGTTGGAGGTACATCTTTAGGGTAGTCCTAGAAGTGGGATGAGTGTTGAGGGAAAATGTATTTAAGTAGTTTTATTAGATAGCATCAAATTCTAATCATGGTCTTACTCATTTCTACATTCCTACCAGCAATGCATGAGTGGCTGTTTCCTCAATCTCACCAAGAGTATATAGAAAAGATGTTCATTTTTTTCCCTGCTCTGACAGATAAGAAATAGTAGCTGTTTCATTTTAATCTTTATTCTCTTATGAGTGGAGCATCTTCCCCTCCCCACAAGATTTTGTCAGAGAGAAAGAGAGAGTACTAGCAGTTAGAGTGGCAGGCAGAGGGAGACGCAGGCTCCCCGCTGAGCAGGGAGCCCCATGCAGGACTCCATCCCAGGACCCTGGGTTCATGGCCTGAGCCAAAGACAGACTTAAACCAACTGAGCCACCCAAGCATCCCTGGAGCATCTTTTCTTATGTTTACAGCCGTTTTTATGTTTTCCTGTGATTATCCTCCTCATTCATTTTGCTCTTTTTCTATGAGCTTTTTGCCCCCCCCCCAATTATTCTGAATTATTATGAATTAGGGATATTAATCCTTTATCTAGGATACATTCCAAACATGTTCTCCCAATTTGTCATTTGTGTTTTGATTCTGTATATGGTATTTTTGGTCATGTAAATTTTACTTATATGTAGGTAAATTTACCAGTCTTTTACTATATCTAGATTTCTAGTTCTAGAAAAGCCTTCTCTGCACTGAAATTAAAAAGAGGAATCTCAACCATTTTCTTCTAATATTTAGATTGAATTTTTAAAAAAGATTTTGAGAGAGAGAACACACACACAAGGGCGGGAGGGACAAGCAGACTCCCCACTGAGCAAAGAGCCTGAAAAGGTAGGGAGGGGCTCCATCCTAGGACTGAGACCAAGACCTGAGGTGAAATCAGATGCTTAACAGACTGAGCCACCCCAGGCACCCCAAATTTTTTTTACATTTAGACCTGATTCATGTGGAGCTTATTCTTTAGCAGTATGTAAAGAATATACCTAATTTTACTTTTTTTTTTTTTTTTCCCCGAATGACTATCTAGTTGTCTCCATACCACTTATTAAATACGATCTTTGCCCACATTGTTCGGAATACCACTTTATCATATACTAAATTTTATATGTAGTTGGGTCTATTTTGAGACTTTGTTATTCCATTACCTGTTCTTCTCTTCATGCACCAATACCGCACTGAATGAGAGAGGATTTTTGGTACGTTCAGTATCTGGTAGGGCTGGTCCTTCCTCAGAGAACTTCGATTTCAGCGTTCTCCTAGCTATTCTTGCCTATTATTCTATATGAACTTTGTTTCTACTACACGTAAGAAATGCTATTGATTTTTACAGAATTTTATACTCCGCTACTTTGCTCACTTCTTGCTGTAGATGATTTGACCACAGGTTCTTCAGGGTTTTCCGGGTGTACTAGTATGACATCTGCAAAGACAGTTTTATATCTTTTTTGCCTATCCTATGCCTTTCATTGTTTTCTCTAGTTTAACTGCATTGGCTAACAGACCGGGACAATGTTAAATCGCGGTGGAAAGAGCAGACATACTGCCTGGTTCCTGGTCTCAGTGGTCTCATTATCATGCCTCTAGGGTTTCCGATTAAGATGCTGACTTTAGGATATGTTTTACCAAGGTAAGGAAACAGGCATGTACTCCTATTTTCTCAAGGAGTTTTTACCAGGAATGGGTGAATTTTGTCAAAGACATTCCCTGGCTTGTGAAGATAATCACAGGGGCTTTTGAGTAATATACTTTCTAACACTGAACCAACTTTGTATTCCTGGCATTATTCTACTTGGTCATGACTGATTTTCTTTTCATCTGATATTGGAATATGTCCCCTAGTATTTAAGATTTTTGCATCCATGTTTATAAGTGAAGATGCCCTTTAATTTCCTTTTTCTATGCTATCTTTATCAGGTTTAGAGTATCAACATTATGCATCTAGAAGTTTTCCTTATGTATATACATTTTTTTCCATGTTATATATGCTGTCAAAAAATTCTGTAGCACTGAGACTATCTCTAATTTCTGATTTTTAAGAGTTTGGTGGAAGTCCCCTGTGAAATTATCTGGGCCTGGTGTTTCTGTGTCAATTAACTGCTCAACTCTTTTTCTTCTATGTAAATTGGTCTCATTAAGCTTTCCATCTCAAACTGGGTCAATTTTATTAAACTCTATGCTCTTAATTATCCATTTCCTCTAGATTTTCAAATTTATTTGCATAAATGTGTACAAAGTAGTGTCTTAGTACATTTGATATTCTCTCTTCACTAATAATTATTCCCGGGTCACCTGAGTGGCCTGGTTGGTTAAGCATCTGACTTTAGCTCAGGTCATGATCTCAGGGTCCTGGGATCAAGCCCTACCTTGGGCTCCAGGAGGAGTCTGCTTGTCCTTGTCCCTTTTCCTCTGCCCCTCCCCATGTTCATGCTCTCTCTCAAATAAAAAAAAATCTTTTAGAAAAAGGTTATTTTCCCCTTCTCATTTCTTACTTCGTACATTTGTGTTTACCACTTTTCTCGGTCAGATAATGGTTTTAACTATTTTTTCCAAAGAATTAGGATTTTGATATATTAATTTGATTTACTGGTTTTCTGTTCTCTACTTGATAAGTTTCCAGTTTTATTTTAGTGGTTTCCTCTTTGTGTCTTTCTTTTGTTTACTTTGCTGCACTTCCAAGAATTTTATTCATTTATTTTATTTCTTCTTAACTGATTTTGGTGATTTTTAAAAGTATTCTGCAGACTGATATGTAGCGTTCTCATTATTTTTCTAGAAATCCTCTGATTTCTGAGGGTATATTCCTTTTTATCAAAAAGTTGTTTAGAAGGTATTTTACTTTCAGGTAGAAAAATCTTTCTGGGGCGCCTTGGTGGCTCTGTCAGTTAAGTGTTGACTCTTGATTTGGCACAATCCTAAAAATAGGATTGGGAATCAAGCCCTGCAATGGGCTCCATGCTCAATGGGGAGTCTGCTTAAGATTCTTTCTCCCTCTCCCTCTGCCTGTCCTCTCTCTCTCTCTCAAACAAAAACAAACTACCTTTTTATTTACTTCATTTCTAATTTCTAGTTTTTACTGAGTTGTGATCAAAGAGGGTGGTTTATCTATTTCTATCTTATGGGACCTATCAACGTTTTCTTTGTGCTCTAGTATAGGACACAATAATCAATTTTTGAAAAACACTTTACACATTTAAGAAGATATATACGTATTTCTTTAAAGATCTATTTTTTTAAGTAATCTCTACATTCAATGTGGGGCTCAAACTTACAACCCCAAGATCAAGAGTTGCATGTTTTATGACTGAGCCAGCCAGGTGCCCCGCAGATGTGTTCTCTTTTATTAAAGTATTCTCCCCATGTTTTAAATACTCTTCATATTTTCCATCTCTTTGCAATCTTTGTTTTGTTTAGGTATCTTAAAGTCTGTATTCCACTTCCACTAATTTCCTCTTTAGCAGTGTTTTGTCTACTGTTAACCATCAAGGTTTTCACTTCTAGTTTTCTGATTGTTTTCCAAATCCATCCCTTCTTATTAATGGATTCTATTTCTTCACTGACATATGTGAATATGTTAAAAATCACATTAAATAGTTGTATGAAATATAACGTCCCTTTTATATTCCTCTAGTCTCTCTAAATCTTCGAATATGAATTTTCCCATTACTGGATATGTCACTCTGTCTTGTCACAGACTTCTTTTTGTGTTTTATACTTTATTCTAAGCATATCTTCTATGGACATTTTATTAAATAAAAATGTACATATTGCTAGAATACTTAACAAATTTGTAGAAGATATTAAAAAATGACTAATATACTGGTCAACAAAATCAAGATCCAAAAAGATCTTGACAGTGAAATTAATTTAAAGAGATAATTAACAGATATAAATGTAAAATTTTGTATGTGGTTTCTAAAAACTTATGTACATATTGCTAGAATACTTAACAAATTTGTAGAAGATATTAAAAAATGACTAATATACTGGTCAACAAAATCAAGATCCAAAAAGATCTTGACAGTGGGGGTGCCTGGGTGGCTTAGTGGGTTAAAGCCTCTGCCTTTGGCTCAGATCATGATCCCAAGGTCCTGGGATCGAGCCCCACATCGGGCTCTCTGCTCTGCTGGGAGCCTGCTTCCTCCTCTCTCTCTCTCTCTCTCTCTCTCTGCCTGCCTCTCTGCCTACTTGCGATCTCTGTCAAATAAATAAATAAAATCTTTAAAAAAAAAAAAAAGGATCTTGACAGTGAAATGAAATTAATTTAAAAAGATAATTAACAGATATAAATGTAAAATTTTGCATGTGGTTTCTAAAAACTTAACTACGGGAATTCAGAGATGATGGAAATCAGCCTAATATCAACAAATGCAAAAATAAGTTGGGGTTTTTGGTTGCTTGTAAGAGCATGAGACATCAGTATGATACTGTGGCCAAAAAGTTGATTCTGCATGAATGGAGAAATAAGAGAAATGTTAGTCCATTCTACTCTAGTGGTAGAAAACATGCTAAGTCCTGTGTTCAATTTAAGTATAAAACTTTTAAGGAAATATTAACAGAAATGTTCAGAAGACTGTGTCTACGTTAGTGAAATTTGCTAACACTTATTCAGTACCTATTAGATATTAGATGGTTTATGTGCATTAACTCATTTCATCTTTACAAAAACCAAGAGATAGGGATCCTTCCTTGGGATAAGCAAGAATCAGAGAAGTCAGTCACAGCATCTATTTATATCATGAATTTTGTTCTAGTTCTTAGTTTTACTTATAATGTTAAAACCTCTTCAAACTCCTTCTGGAAGCATTTAAAACACAAATTCTAAATCAATACATTAATTAAAAGCTGGCTTTAACCAAATCATAAATGTCTAGAGAATGTTTCAAGCTGAAGCTCATCCAGTGGGTTGTATCAAAAATGTAGTATAAAACCAATCCTACATAACTAAAAATAAAAACAAAAATAAAAAACCAACCAACCAATCCAAAACAGAGCCCAAGGAGCGCCTGGGTAGCTCAGTGGTTTAAGCCTCTGCCTTCGGCTCAGGTCATGATCTCAGGTTCTGGCTCTCTGCTCGGCGGGGAGCCTGCTTCCCCCCCTCTCTCTGCCTTTCTCTCTGCCTACTTGTGATCTCTGTCTGTCAAATAAATAAATAAAAAATCTTTAAAAAAAAAAAAAAGTCCCCTCTTAAAAAAAAAAGAAAAAAACAACTACAACAACAAAAAAACAGAGCCAGAGCCCATCCCTACATCAACTCCCAATTAGTGTCACCCATTAACAGAGATTAGAAGCTAGATTTTACCTAGCTTCAATGACCACAACACAAGCATGCAAAACTTCCTTTAAAAACTTAATACTCAAAATCAGACATATATATATTAATGTTTAAGGTTCATGTTAAACAGAGATTCCTTTCCATGCAGGAATCTGAATAAGCTGAGATCACTTAAATGGAAAAAGGGAAATATATATCAGGAGAGTAAGAAGATTCAAGTAATAACTTAAAAATATTTTACTGCTTATAAACTTTAAGGGAAAACATTAATAAAGGGGCGCCAATAGACAAAATGTCTCACATCAATAATTACAATCAGGATATTATCTTCAAATAGGATTGCCTAAGAATCTTAAAAGTAATTTGTTTATGCATATACAGTTGCATAAATGTTTAAATGTTATATAGTTGTAGACAAATGTCTCTTTGTTGTCTGTTTCTCTTCCTCTCCCCCATTTCTTTACATTTGAATTTTTATCAAATAAATCCTTGTCTCCTAAGGAGAGTGGAGGTAGATGAAGTGGTAGAGTAATTTTTCTAACATGTCCTTTGAATTTGTCATCATGCTTGACATTTGGTTTTAGCAAAACATGCTTCTTTATACTTACATCATCTTCTTTGAGGGTCTGAAGAAATTTCTGCAGTCTGTCTGGTGTTTTTTCTGCTGCTAGAGATATTATTTTCTGGTCCATTTTTGCACATACCAGGGAACTGTAAGGGAAAGTGTCAGAGCTGGATGATACTTTCAGAAGTAAACAAGCTTGATTATTTTCTTTCCCTGTTAACTATTTCACACATATTATAAACCATGTACACAGTGGGTTCTCATTAGCATGAGTACATGATTCTTAATTCAAACCAAAATAATCTGGAGAATTCCCTGGAATTTTCATATTAGAAACCTGTATTCTAATAAAGTAGTTCAACAATTTTTGCCCACATTTTTGTTTTTTTTAGCATCTACCTAGCACACTGCCTAGAACAAAGCTGATACATAATAGTATATCAAATAATTATAAACATACACATAAGAATATGTATTATAACCTTATAATAATAATATTTGATAAATGAATACATCAACAACACTGTAAATACAAAGTGCCATTAAACGGTATAACGACAGGGCACCTGGGTGGCTCAGTCAGTTAAGCATCGGTCTTTGGCTCAGATCATGATCTCAGGGTCCTGAGATTTCGTCCTGCATTGGGCTCCCGGTTCAGTGGAGAGTCTGTTTCCCCCTCTACTCCTTCCCTCGCTTGGGAGCTCTCTCTCTCTCTCTAAAAAATTTTTAAAAATTAAAAAAAAAAAAAAAAACGGTATAAAAACAAATGAGAAGTTAACAAGACTAATGAAATAAATGTGTGCCTAGAGGTCAAAAAAGCTTCCCAGTAGAGAGCTTGAACTGGAACTTAGAGATTAAATTTAGATAGTCAAGATAGCCAGATGGTGTACTTTATACACTACTGAGAAGGAGAACGTCATGAACAAAGACCTTCATATAAGAATCTGAAAAACCTATTTAGGGAAAATGAAGGACAGAGATTTGAAGTTCAAGTAGGGTAGCAATGAGTACGAAGGCTAGAAAGATAGTCTGGGAATAAATGTGCAGGATTTTTTTTTTTTTTTAAGATTTTGTTATATAATCTCTACACCCAATGTGGGGCTCGAACTCACAATCCCAAGATCAAGAGTTGCATGGTCTACATACTGAGCCAGCCAGGTGCCCCTGAACTGTGCAAGATCTTAAATGCCAGATTAAGGGATTCAGATTTTATTCTGTAAATGATGACAACCAAAATTCTTGGAGCAAAAGAAAATCTACCTGATTCAGATTCTGCCTGTTTCACACTGAACAAGTGTTTGAGCAAACAATCTGGCATCAACACTTAGATTAAAGTGGGCAGAGAGCAAGGACACAGAGCAGAGACTAGGAAGTTACGGAGGGCTATTTTGGCGATGAACACAAAAGCCTGTGGTGACTCTGGGCGTGGAAAGGAAGAGATGGAACAGAAGCCTGCTGGGAGGCGGGATTTAGTGAGCAGCTATGGGAGGGAAGGGGGGAAATGCAGACCGCTGCAAAGACCTGCTCCCCCTCCAGTATTTCTTCTTGTCTCCCATCCCCATAAAATGTCCCACCCTCCACACAGCTACTGAAACCAGAAGCCTGGAGGACATTAACAACTTCACTTTCATCCTTCACATCCGCTTCAAGTCCTTGCAATGTCACCCCCTAAACCTCTCTCGAATCTGTCTACTTCTCAGATCCACTGCTGCCACATCACTCCACAGCCACCAGTATCTGTCATCGGAACGACTACAAAAGCTTCCTAACTTGTCCCCCACACGGCAACTAAAGTAATCATTCCAAGACACAAACCAGAGGAGGTGACTGACCCTCCCTCCACCTCTGATTCTCACCTTAAAACTTCCCAGAACCCTTCCACAGCTCTCCTATTGGTCCAATATCCAGACGTCAGGATAAAAAAGCCCAGCAGGGTCTGGCCCGCACCTAAATCCCCTTCATCACTATATACTCCTTGCTTTCAGTCCTTCCAACTCCCAAGTTCTCCTGCCACAGGCCCTGACACTTGACTTTCAGTCTGGAACTTCTATACATACACTTCCTCTCATCGCCTGCGCCCCAGTCTTTTAATTCCTACGAATCCTTCAGATCTCAGCTCAATCTATCCTTCCCCAGAAGCTAAGGCTAGGTTAAATGCTCCATTTTTTTTTTTTCCATTTTTTTTTTTTTCAAGATTTAGAGAGAAAGAGCAAGCAAGCAGGAGGAGAGGGAGAGAATTTCAAGCTAAATCCCCACCCAGCCCTACCAGGACTCCATCTTACTACCCTGAGATGATGACCTGAGCAGAAAGGGACTGAGCCATCCAGGCGCCCCTAAATACTCCCCTATTATAGTCTTTCAAGGCAACAGTAATTTCTCTTACGTCATAGGCCTTTAACATGACATCTGTAATTACTAGATCAAGAACTATCTCCCATTTGACTACAAACCTACAAACCTCATGAAGACGGGGAGGCAGGTCTGTTTTTGTTTACCACTGATCCTCCAGTACTTAATCACAGTACCTCCCTTGTAACAGGAGCCCAATAAATATTTGTTGAACAAATAAATTAAACTCCCTAAATAAATAGCATGCCCCTGGGCCCAGCCCTTTACATTCATTAATTTGATCCTCAGACCACCCCTGTGAAGCAGGTGCTATTAGTTTCAATTTAGATGAAGATCTTAGGGAGCCTGGGTGGCTCAGTGGGTTTAAGCCTCTGCCTTCGGCTCAGGCTCGGGTCATGATCCCCGGGTCCTGGGATCAAGCCCCGCATGGCATTGGCTCTCTGCTCAGCAGAGAGCCTGCTTCTCTCTCGCTCTCTGCCTGCATCTCTGCCTCCTTGTCATCTCTGTCAAATAAACACCTTAAAAAAAAAAGTAGAGATGAAGATCTTTAGGGATTTGGAGACATTACATAATTGCCCCCAAGGATTAGAAGGCCAGTACTGGCAGAGGCAGAAATGAAACCCAGGTCTGTCCAGCTCCAGCCCCCAAGACCCGCAGGCTCTTAGTTTCTACTCCCGCCCCCGTCAGGGCCTGGGCGGGGTGGGGGAGCGGGGAGGGCAGAGGAAACGCAGAAAGGGCGTACTGCCCAAGAGAGACGTGCAGCCAGAGAGGGAACACGCCGAAATCTATCTCAGCAGGTCCATTTGCTAAATTCGGCCGAAAACCGGAGAGGAGGAACTACCAGGCGACTGCGAAGCGCGCAGCACCTGTCTGCAGGCGCTGGGACCAGCGCGGCTCGGGGACGGGAAACGCGCGGGTCTTCGCGCCGGGACTCCCCCGAGAGCAACACGTAAACACAAACTAGGACGCGAGGCGGCTGGCGATGCGGGCCGTGACCCGGCCCCAGAGGAGAAACGGGGTGAGAGGTCTCCGACGCAGGAGCAGAACCCCGACAGAGAGAGGACTCTAGCAGGAGGAAGGAGGATGCAGCCCGCCCGGGAGGTGGCAGCCGCGGAAACCGAGGGGTGCGGCGGGAGACAGGCCGGAGAAAACTCCAGAACGCCAGCTGGCAACAGCAGTCCTCCAGGCTTCACAGATCCGCTCCCTCCCTGAGGCGCGGAGTGCCTGCGCCCCGGCAGCGCGAGAAGCCCCTCCGCACGGTTACCTCGGCCTCGCCGCCACAACAAACTTCCAAAAAGCCCGCTCAACTGCACGCCGCCGCACTTCCGTCACGGGACACAGCAGGCCCCGCCCTACCTGCGACTTATTTCCGCTGGTAGGGCGCATGCGCTTGGGGTGTACCATTAAGGCAGAAGGGGCCGACAGTCCTCGGACGTTCCCATTCCCAGTCGTGGGGAGGCGCAGCGGGCACACTCGCATTCAGAACCGCGGAGAGCATCCGCGGTGTGGCCTGAACGCAGCTGGAGCGTGGTGTAGACCGGTTAACACCCCGTGGTTACTGTTAGGGGAAGAGTGAGCGCCAGAGTGGCAGAATCAAGGCACGTGTAGGTCTTTGCATTGGAGGCACCTGGAAGGCAGATGAAGACACAAGAAGTGTCCCACTCCTTGTGCTAGGGGAGGTGTCGGTAACCCCCAAGATGTAAGTCCCACGTGCCAGGGGGCTTTTTTGCAAAACCTCAGCTCTTAGCGCATAACCTGGCAAAGCAGTAAATACTCAGTAAATATTTGTTAACTGAACAACTAGCAGTAGAACAAAGCAATGGGGCGGGTGGGGGGCTGCAGGCAGATTTTTTAGCTTGAAGGAGCAGCTTGGGCAAAGGGGCCTGCCTGAGAGCACCAAGCAAGAAAGCTCCTGACTGGGGCGCCTGGGTGGCTCAGTGGGTTAAAGCCTCTGGCTTTGGCTCAGGTCATGATCCCAGGGTCCTGGGATCGAGCCCTGGGATCGAGCCCCGCATCGCATCGGGCTCTCTGCTCAGCAGGGAGCCTGCTTCCTCCTCTCTCTCTGCCTGCCTCTCTGCCTGCTTGTGATCTCTCTCTGTCAAATAAATAAATAAAATCTTTAAAAAAAAAAAAAAAAGCTCCTGACTAGTGCAGGAGGTGAAGGTGTTTGGGGGTGGGGTGAGAACGCAGGATCTTGGAAGTCCTTTTCACATCACTGGTAGTGTGGAACAGCAGAAGTGGAAGGACATGACTGTACTCATTGTAGGAAAATCTCTCTGGCAGGTGAGTGCTGCAGAGACTTAAAAAGAGATCATGGGGGGCACCTGGCTGGCTCAGTGGGTTAAAGCCTCTGCCTTCCGCTCAGGTCATGATCCCAGAGTCCTGGGATCGAGCCCTGCAGAGAGCCTGGTTCCCTTCCTCTCTCTGCCTACTTGTGATCTCTGTCAAATAAATAAATAAAATCTTAAAAAAAAAAAAAAAGAGAGAGATGATGGTGTTGGGGAGGACTGAAGGCAGGACTCTCTAGGGGCTACATTGCCCTGGAAATAGGTAGTTGCAGCGGGGACAGGCGGAAACCAGTGGACTGCATGTGAAAGAGATTAGGAAGTGGAGTGCCCCAGTTTGGGGTAGATGTAGGAGGAGCTGAGGAATATCCAGGCTTGAGTGACAGGCGGGGGTGGGTTGACACTGCCAGGGAACTGACACAGGGAGCACAGGGAAAACTGTAGGTTTTGAGGAGGGGGTGATGAGGATGCCTTCATGGGAAAGAATGCTCAGATGGGAGGCATTCAATGTGGAGCCTGATCCCCAGTCCGCAGGGGTGGGATGGGTCTACTTGGCCAGTACTGGAAGAAACAACCGCTGGAAGAGAGGGACGCCCATCAGCTGCCGAGGCCTGCTCCTTGCTTATGACCCTTCTTAAGCAACTTTTACTTCTATCACATTTCTGGCCCAATATTGAGCTGTAATAATGCGGCTAAAACACAGCAGCTGAGTTGGAAGACAATTCCTGAAAGGAATCCTTTAGCTTGCCAAGGACACAGATGACTTTGCCTCGTCTTCTCCCACAAAGCCTCCCTTCTTAGCTGCTTATGGGAGTGGGCCAGACAGCGACAAATGTATGTGGCTGTGCTCATTTGCCTTTTTGAGCCTCCTGGTGTGCATCCCGGGTACACGTACTGAACTGCCGGTGTGAGTGTCTACCCAGTGGCACTGACAGTTCAATGTCTCTCCTCCCCCTTGTAGCGTGAATGCATCATCTGTTTTCCATTAGCACGAATGGGTGTTATACATGCACAGGAAAAGAACGGGAGTCGAATAACAGTGTTCCCCACCCTGCCGCAGGCTTCCTTACTAAGCAACAAATCTTACTCATTTGCTTCAACCAACTAGATTCCTATACTGGGCAGCTGGTGATCCATTAACTTTAGAAGAAACAGCCAATTAAAAACAGGTTCACAATAGTGGAACGAAATGTTCTTCAGGCCTTGTCCATAGTTCACATTTGTGTGGTAACGTTATAACTACTGATATTTGCAAGAGTCCAGAGAAAAAGGACAAACGGAGGCCCCCTACCATTCAGGATACTGGGTGCTGCAATGTGAGGGGCTTCCTATGTTTGCGTGAAAACCACTTCATCCCCCTAGACTGGCCGTTGGCTACCCTTAGGGCCTACGGTTGTACACACCAGCAGGCCTACCTGGAGAGCGTGGACCAAGGAAAGGGCCTGTATAGGCCAAGGAAGTGAGTTTGGGGATGTTTTGGAAGGTACCCAGAGTGTGGTCTGAAGGAAGGCATGTGGGTTTTGGTGGTTACACCCAAGGTTTCTTGATCCTCCCATCATCTAGGAAGGGAGAGCGACATTGTTTAAGAGAATAATCAAGGTAGCACGTATCAAAAGCCTAGCACTTAGAAACCCTTCCTAGTGTCAGTTCCCTCCAGCAGTCCCACATTTGAGTCTAAATATGGAAGAATTGAACTCAGGGTCTCAAACACAGGTTTGTACACCCCTGTTCACAGCAACATTGCTCATGGCAGCCAAAAAGGTGGAGACAACCAAAATCTTCAAGGAGTGGTGAAGGGATAACCAGAATGTGGTATATCCATACACAGGAATAATCTTTAGCCTTGAAAAGGGAGGGAATGCTGGCACTACAACATGGATGAACCCAAAGGACGTTATGCTAAGCGAAATCAGCCCGTCCCAAAAAAGACGAGTACTGTATGATTCCACTCATAGGACATATCAAAGGAGTGAAATTCACAGGAACACAAAGTAGAATGATGCTTGACCAGGGTCTGGGGAGGAGGAAGAAATAGGGAGTTACTCTTGAATAGAGAATAGAGTTTCAGTTTCACAAGATGAAAAAGTTCTGGAGATCTGCTTCACAACAATATGAACACTTCACACTACTGAGGTAGACATTAGAAGCTGGTGAGGATAATTAGCCAAAAAAAAAAAAAAAAGGATAATACGATCTGGGCAGCTCATAGGATTATTAAGGAGAACCAGCTGAGTCTACCCTGAAGAAATTCCAACTTGGTAGGGTTTAGGGTAGGAGCTTAACGGCTCACTCTCTGTATCCCCAGTGTCTAGAAAAGTGACGCCCAGGATACTTCATGCTTATTAAATGGGTACAAAATCATGAACTCATCCTTGGAAAAATATGGTTTTAAATTATCCCAACGAAATGTTATATTTCAAATTTTGGCTTAAAATATATATTACTCCTTTTGAAGCTTCTTGTGAACTTGCAGTCATTTGAAGATTTAAAGTTCAAAACAGGTGCCTGGATGGTGCAACTGGTTGAGTGTCCAACTCTTGGTTTTGGCTCAGGTCCTGATCTCAGGGTCATGAGATTGAGCCCCATGATGGGCTCTGTGCTCCAGGGGGAATCTGCTTGGGACTCTCTCTGTCTCTGGCTCTGCCCCTCCATGATCTCTCTCAAATAAATAAATAAATAAATATTTTTTAAAAAATAAAAACAGTTCAAAACAACCACAACAAACAAAAATGTTAGTTCCCTCCCCCTACTCAGGTCTCTCTTTTTCTCAGAGGCCTGAGAGACAGGATGAGGAGGAGAGGGGAAAGTAATCCTTAAAACCTGGCCCCTTGCAATTGGTGACATTTCATTAAGGCTTGTAGATGATCATAGTTCACTGTACGCCAACCAACTGGAATTTAAAGGTTTGTAGATTATCTAATTGTATTCTATCAACCTTTATTTCATGGTTTTGGTCATTATTCTGTGGTTCATTATGAGAATGTCCCTTTTGGGGGGGAAATATATCCTGTTTGTTCTTCCTCGTAATGTTAAACCTTACTTCGATGGATTTTATTTATTTTCACAGCTTTTGTCTCTGGCACTGCCCACTCTCCCACTGCCACCGGAGAGACACTTCTTTGGAGAATGAATCTGACTCCGGGACGCCTGCAGCTTTTAGCTCTGTGGGGCAGCCTGTGAGAGTCAAGGCACTCTCATTCCCACTGCGTGACTGTAAGGAAGAAAGAGAATGTCCCTCAACCTGGGTTTTCCTATTTTCCAAAGGAGGGGTTGAGACCAGGGCATTCCTTAGGGTCCTCCCTCCCCCAGGACATTTATTACTGGTCTAAATGGCAGTAACCAGACTCTTGACCTCAGAAAAGTGAGGTGATGTCATCTTCCCCAGAAGCCAGGGCCAGGTGTGACTTTCCTGAGCAGCCACACCTGTGTCATTCTCATGTCTGGAGGGTCTGGAAGTGGGAACCCAGCCTGTGTGTTGCACAGTAAGAGGGCTTTAGAGTGACCAGGACCGCACTCCCCACCAACTGTGTGGCTTTGGGCAGGGCTTCCCAACTCTCTAACTCTCAGCTCCCTATTCTGTAAGAAAGGGGAAGATCCTCTTTTCCTCACATCTGGAAAGACTGGATGAGATACTGCAAGTAAGTCACCTGTCACAGTACAGAATGGAGGCACAGCCAATCCGAGCCCCCTCCCTGCCTGCCTCCAGCCTGGAAGAGAGAGCCAGGGAGCCCGCGGTTTTCTGCCAACATGACCAGCACAGGTGTCTGGGCCAATGAGGGCAGCATCCCCCCTCACACAAAGGCACTATTGTTCCAGCACAGGAACTGGACATGAACGTGACTCTTTGGGGGGGGGTGGGGGGCAGGGCAGAGGCAGGGCTGTGAGCAGAAAATAATGCCACAGAAAGCTCTGCTCCCTAAAAAGGGCCTCACGGCCTGCTCGCATCCTGAAAAGCTCTTTTCTGGGGCTTTAACCCACAAGTGTTCTTGGTGCGCAGGAGTGTTCCTTGCGATGCACTCTATCAGCTGGCTTTTCCCGAGCCTATGCTGGGCCTTCCGTCC